GAGAGTTTGGACTGTGGCAGTGGTTTGGATAGCAGCATCCAAGGCACATGTGCTCTTCCCTCACAGAAAAGTGTCTTCCATGTGTCCAGGAGAACTGACTGAACTCTCAGTTCTACACGTGGGCAATTCTGCATGTAAAACAAATCCTTTGGAGGCAGGAAAATTAGCCAAATGTAATTTTCCACTTAGGTTACAAAATAGCCTGTAACTGTTCTGTAACCTGGGTAACTGATGTTCTATTTGTATTACAAAGAGGATCATTTTATTTTTTAATGTATATTTGATTCATAGATTGCTTACACTTGTGGTGTTGATATTGCTGATAAAGATAGAAAGTGTAAAACACATTAACAACAAAACACTCCCCACCCAAATTCCCAAACTCAAACAAACAAGTGAACAAAAAAGAATAATAAAAGAAAACAAACAAGGACACCCTGCACCCACCCCCCCCAGCCAAAAAGACCCTAAAACACTGTGAGTTTTCCTTGGATTGAGAGGAGTACCATTAATTACTGGTGTTTTGATAGTTTCACTTGACTGTAAGTGAGAATCACATGGCAATAATATTTACTCTTCTGTTCAGGAGCTTTCTAGTGACTTATCACAATTTGTGAATCTTCATAAGACTTGCTCAAAAGACCCAGCCTTCAAATGTAAAGAATTTTATTTTCCTTGGGATGAAGAAAGGGTAGAAAGAATGGTATTGGTTATTGTCCTTGTCTTTCAGATGGAGGAATTGAGGTATTGGGTAGTTTGTGTATTTAAGTCACACAGCATGGCAGGAATGAAAATCTGATACTTAGATGTGTAATGACTCTTTAATACCACAGAAAGTCTTGGAGTAGCTGACAGACTCTAAGAGCTCCAAATGTGATTGAGGATGATGAAGACCCTGTAGCAGGGGACATTCAGGAGATGGCACTTAGGTCAGAAGCCTGTCAGAGAGAAGCTGGGGAAATAAAGCGGTTAAAGGAACTGAAAAGAACACTGAATCACCCTTCAGTTGTATTAGTAATAATTAACCTGTTAGAAAGTCCAGTGAGAACTGATAATCAGAGTACAAAGGGAACAGAGGGCTGAGAAGCTGAAGAAATAGAGATCATTCCCCAGCCAGAACCCTCTCCAGGACAGGACAAAGTGAAGAGCACAAGCAGAGGATCTGCCTGAGGCTGAACTGACTATAGGTTGAGTTTTTGAGAAGAATCAGCACTAACCAAGTGAGTTTTCAGTAAAAAGCTCAAACAAAATGGAAAAAGAAAATTACCTAGATAAATACTTGAAGAGAGTCAGAATGGATTTTATAGCATTTAATTCAGGCTTACAGGCACATCTGGAGTTCTTGGAAAGAGTTGACAGATATGTGGATCAGGGGAGATTCAGTAGGTGCATTTTATGACACCTCTAAAGAGGTTTCAGTAAATTCACTCAACAAATAAGTATTTCAAGAAACGGAATAGTTATGAGTAGGGAAAATGAATATCTCTGATTAAAATGTAGAAAAGAGAGTAAAGCTAAGCTATGAGCTCTCCCCTGAGGGGCAGGTGATCCAGTGATGTTCCACAGGAAACTTTACTGGGACCTGCAGAGCTCAACACTTCCACAAATGATCTGGTAGGAGCGTGACTAAAGTAGCAAGAAGGCTGATGATGGTGCAACTTAGACAGGAGAAAGGCATTTTCAGAAGACTACAAGGAAGACTTTATAGCACTTGAAAATTAAAATGGCAGATAAAATTCAATGTAAGTAAACATGAGGTAGTGTATATGGGAAAAATCCATCCTAGCATCATATATGAAGAGTTGGGCTTGAGTTGCTGCTCAGGAAGGAGATCCTGGGATTATGATAGATTGTTGCATTGTGTGGGACTTGATGCTGGGCAGTCATCAAAACTGCAAACCTCTTTTCTGGTGTTCTTAGGAAAGGGACAGTGAACATCAAGATCCCTCTGTATCAACTCATGGCTTGACTACAACTTGAATACTACATGTAGTTAGAGTTCTTTTATGTTAAAGAGTGAAGAAATGGTTAGGGAAAGGGTTTCTTTTGTCTTAGGAAAGCCACAATTTTCCCAGAAAAAAACTGGGTAGAAGGAACAATCAAGGATGTAAAACGGCTGCCAAAAAAAGAAAAACAAAACAACAACAACAAAAAAAAACCACCCCAGGACTGCTTAGGCTAGGACAAACAGTTACTGGGAACAGGGTCAAACAAGAAGCTTCTTCTTCTAAGTGGTGATAACCCTATGGAACTTGCTGCCAGAAGTTACTGCAGATGCTGGTACTGTAGATGAGAAACTGGTCAAAACATTTGACAGAAAGATCTGTGGAAGGGTACTACCTAAAGAATTCATGGAAAGCTTGTGTGACTCACCAGCTGAAAATAGTTGGTGTGGGAAAGCACCCAGGGGAAGCGTCCTCGCCCTGCTCTTATTCTTCCTTGGACAGCTGCTTTTGATCAGAGCTGTAGGAAGAGAGCTGGGCTGGGTGGGCCCTGGCAGCGAGCTGCAGGGGCTGCCCAGCTGGAATGCAGCAGCTACGTGCTGTGCTAACCTGGGCAGCAGGACGAGAGCCCAGCTGGCCCTGGATGAGCCACCTCAGACGCCGGCAGCAGCCCGAGCTGCGGCTGCACGGAGAGCTCATCCTCCGGCTGGCACCAGTCAGCCTGAGCTGGGATTCTTGCTGTCATCGCTGGGATGTCCCCAGCTCTGAGCTGGCTGGTATAAAATATTGCTATTCCTCACTGCTATTTGCTGCGTGGGCATTCCCACCAAGTGGGCATGGTCGTGCACAACTTATTGTGGTGCAGTCTACAAATATAAAGATGCTAAATTCTCAAAGGAGGAGAAGTATTCCAGCTTTAACTCTCTCGGTTTGTTTCCATTTTCTATTTATTCATTTCATAGATCTAATAATTTTTTCTGAGTGTCAGCTTTAGTACACTTACACTGGGGTCTGAAAATCATTAGGTTGAGGTTTTTTTTGGTTAATGGATCACTGTCAGCAGTAGTAAATATTTGCAGCCAGAACCAATGCTGTATTAAGAATAGATTCCAGTGTATTCTCTTTTTAACTGTGATGGCTTTGAAGATCTAATAGCACTGAAAATTACCAAATAACTATTTTTATCTCTAGAGTCAGCAGTTCTGACTCACAGTGTCCATTAAGGAAATGAATTTTAAACAACAGAATTCTTAAAAATTATTGTCACTCATTATGTTAACTACACTTAAAAAGGGAGGACATCTATTATAGAAATGAAAATATTCTATTGGTGCAATTACAAACTAATGAAGACTGTTACAAAGTAGTTATGTTAATTAATATCATTGCACATTTAATGCCGGGATGATTCTCAAGGTCTCCAGCTGGGGGCACTGGGCAGACACGGAAACCTGGCGATGCCCAGCGTGAGTGAGATTTGCATCTAGAGCAGAACTGTGCTGGAGGGGAGGAGGCGGGGAAACCGAACCACCAAGGAAAATGGATGTGAGATACAGTCATCACCCTGAATTTGAGAATTTCCTAAGACCAAATGGATTTTACTTTCAAAATTCTTATGCTAGTGACAAACAGCTGTATTTTATTTTCATTACCCATAAATCATCCAGATTCTTTAGAAAAATTATCCCTTTAATCAATAACTTCAAATTCTAATGGGCCCAGGTAGAAAAGTCATTGTAAATTCAAATTTGTTGCCATTCAGTTTCATTAAATATTTCCAGCCTTGTACAAATCATTGTCTCTACCTACCTTTAATATTGTTATTTATTCATTTATATCAGGGAAAAAGCTAGAAAATAAATAGAAGATGCATCTTGTCAAAATACATTGTAAAGCCTAGCATGCTTTGAGGTCTACATGGGCCTGGAAGGAGAGATTTAGCATCTAGAACAAGACCTGAGGAGAAGGTGTGCCATATAATTGCTCAAGGAACACCAACTATGCTATTAGGAATATGTCAGAAACCAATGGTGGTTTCATGCTTTCAACTCATATAATTAAAAAAAAAAAATTCTTAATACCAATTCAGGAAATCGTAGCCCTAATTTTGTTGGTAAGGTTTTCTAAACCAGGTCAGGCAGATGATTTTTAAGTTAGCCAATTTAATGTTGAACAGAAAAAGCAGAGTTTGATAGTAGCTGTAGGAGAATGTATGAAAAGGTGAACAAACTTATGGGGACTGCACAACTGTAAATGGATGGACCAAGAAGGAAAGTAAACATTCAACATTGCCAAGCTCAGAGTAGCCTAGATCTTCCTTCCAGATGATATTTTTAACTGGATTTTGCAATAGAGCAATGGATTTCCTGATCCCTGGAGCTCCTGGCCTACTATCTGGCCTCTGCATTACAAGTTATGACTGCTTGCAGTGGACTGAAGCCAAAAGTTTTTGTCCACACCACCGGCTGTCCAAACAGAGGGACTTCTGTCTGGGTGTGTAGATACTCGGTTGTGGAAAAGCAGGAGGGAACATTTTGTTCATCTTTCCTCATGTTTCTCCCCAGACACACCAATACACTGACACAGAGAAAAAACCAAAGCCCTAATCATGCCATACTTCCTTAGTATCTTCCATGTAATTATAGAAAGCAATCTAGAAATATTAAGGCTTCAGAGTACCAAAAGCATTAGGGGATCAGAAAGTTGAACAAACTATCAGCTGGTTGGTTGCAAGTTTAGGAAAGGTTCAGGAGTTCTTTTTTACAGTCCTTTAATCTAAGATCTAGGCCACAAATAAGAAGTTAGCCTGGAATCCACAATCAACCTCGAAACAACAAAATTTTGTTTACACCTTAACAAGCAGTGAACAGTACCAGTTTGACTTTATAAGATCCTCATTGTTGCAAAACTGTAAAGAGTGTTTGCTTTTTAATAGCTCAGTGTTGTTTCAAGAGAATGAAGTTGCTCTTGGACCTTGACATGTAGAATTAATTAAATGACACGTGAATAAATATATATTAATTCTTTTTTATTAAAGTATCAAAACAAACTTCAGAATAGAAAACAAACTGCTTTTTAATGCATTTTAAGGGTTCTCCTGAATAAAGTATACTTTGAGAAAACTCATGCAACATACTGTGTAGCTGTTTAAACACTCTTTTCTGGGGCACAGTCAAGTGACCCTGAGTACCATCATTTCCAGAGCAGCGTGCAGGAGCACGCACACACACACACACACATACAAAAGCAATACAGAGCAGCTATGACTGCACATGTAAAGAAATAAAAATAGATTATCTTCTGACAATAGTAGTGGTACATATTAACATTTGGCATGCCGAGTAAATAAGATCAAGCAACAAAAGCATGACGCCTGCGTCACCAGTGATATGGTTAAAAGCAACCATACAAATTCCCTAAGGGAGACACATGAATTCTGTCATTACAGTCTCTCTGGTAACACTTTATAACCAATTATGAGACAAACAGCCCTGTCTGCTGGTATTTGAGAGGTGAAAAGCAAAGCCAAGGTGTACGATCCCAGGCTGATGCCTTGGTTTTGTATTTCCACGTTACAGAAGTCAAATAATCATCAAACATCGTTTGACAGGTTTATTGTACACACTCCATGTATATCTGTTGTCTGATAAACACTGGCCCAATTACATGTAGAACTTGCCCTTTAAACCAGAGAAGTTGCCACAGAGGCTGCAAACTCTGCTTACATGAAAAAAACTCTCACTGAAATCAATAGAACCTCCTTCCAACATACAGAGAGATCATGGATTCTTAAGAGAGAATTGGACCTAGAATGTCACCTTTGTAATACATTCACTTTTCAGATACATGAAGTACATACCTTTTACATGTGATATAGGACATTACAATATATCCAGACCTTAGGAAATGGTATTAAGTAGTTCTGTTGCAGAATATAACAATCATATGAGGACCAGGTACAATATGTGATGGACTCATGCGAGACTTGCAGGGTAAGAAGCTCATGGCTGAGGTATCTTCAAGTTTAGCCTTTAGAACAAACACACAATTTCAACACTGCAGAACTGGTGTAAAATATTATGCACTGTAAGCTCCACTTGTATTCTGCTTTGTTTAAATTGTGACATTGAACAGTCAGACACCACTGATAGAGGTACAGAATCTTGGAAGGTACAATATCTGCCAATCATTCAAGACACTCAGTGCCTCATCTTCAAAAAAGATGAAGGATGAAGGATAAGTGTTTTTAATAGTGGTGTCTCAAATACAACTGGTGAAGTTTAGGAATATATAATATTAAACACCAAGAGATAAAAGTAAAAAGACAGCGCAACACTTGTGTTTTCAGTTTTATCTTGCTCGCAGTATTTATTAGCTCTACTCATTATAATATTAGTGATAAATAAGGATAATATTTTCTTTTACAAAAAAAAATTGTAAGGGTATATTTTATAGAAATAAACAATCTGAGAATTTCACAGAAACATCAGAATTTCAACACTCATAGCTCCAACTGTTTTGTCCAGCAGCTCTTCCACCAGTTCAAAAACATCCAAGGTTAGTATTTAATAAAAAAATTAAACAATTATTCACTACATCAAAACTCTTGCCTCCTTTAGATTCTAAGTAAAACTTTTGATTGACTGTAGTTGTCACTCAAATCTAAAATAAAAGTAGCTACAATCATAATTTTTCCCTCTGACTCACTTGGCAAAAGGAAGTAATCTTGACCAGGATGGAAAAATCTTTGCCAAGCTCTTATGCCTGTAAGAGCTATCTGCATGAGCAGACCCACTGAAATCCATGGAACCTCTACTGTGACTGAGGGGTAATAGCATGAATTAAGGCTTGTAGGATTAAATCCTAGATGAATTTTAAAAAATATTTCTGTTTTTCAAGGTTCAGGAGTCTGGGATTCACTCCTGCAGTTCTTTACTTGAGCAAAACCTCTATCAATATCCCTGCACAGTTAGTTTCCTTTTTCCAATTCAGTGGGTTTAATTCACCAAGTCAGTAAGTGATGATACAAGCTGCTCTTCAGCAATTCAAGGAAAAATTGTAGTCCCCAGGGGGTAGTATCTGGGGTGATAGCTCATAAAATACAAGCTAGGCTACCTAGATGTTTTGCAAGAAACATTTCTTTGTCACACTTACTAGACCCTTCAAATTCAGTCACTGAGATGAGTCACAGAAAAAACCCACATGAGTGTTGTGAAAAAAATGACAAAGCTTGGTTGAAACTACAGAGGGGTTTTTTTGTGTGTGTGTATGTGTGTGTGTGTGTCTGTGTGTGTTAGGTTAGAATGCAACATTACACATCAGTACATTCTGCTAGAAACCATCCTCCTGGAAATTCAAAAATACTCAGTCTTCTTTCCCTACCAGCAGCAAGGAAGAGCAGTGTCCATCCAGCACAGCTGCCTGTGCCCCGTGCATCGCTGGAAGTCAGTGTTCTAGCACAAACCTCGTGAGTGCAGATACTGTATACTAGCAGAGCTAAAACTTCAGAAGCTGTTGTCTGTAGCTCCTAGGAACAGCAAGTATGACAGGTGCAAACCCTACATTGGAGGCAGAAGGCTCTTCAATTTGATTGAGACCAGATCTTCCAAGGGCAAGAATCGCTGTCAAGCCAAAATGATTCTTTCCACTCATGAAAGCAACCTGCCCTTCCTAAAGGCTCTTGACTAATAGAATCCTACACATTATGTCAGACTCCCCCACGGATTCTGGTAGCTGTTAAAAACATTTTAAATATTTCCACGTTTGCCGTATCACTTAACCTTGCAATGTGCCTTCTTTGATCTGTTGAATAAAAAGATTTCTTTCATCTTCAGGTGTCCTTCCGTTCTGTGCACGGACTATACACGTGGGCCTGTGCAGATTGAGCATGTATATCAAATGCTGCTTCTCATTCTTCAGCTCCTCGATCTGGGCTTTCAACTCTGCATTGATGGTTTCCAGCTTCTCAGATTCCTAGCACAAAGGACACACACAATTTTACACTGAGAAGTTTAAATAGTAACTTGCTGGGTTTTTTTCTTATAGTTGTTGTCTTTTATGGGTGGGAAAGCATATGGCTGGCAGAGAAAGGAATCACATATACTTAGTGTGCTGCAATGATAAAACTTTGTATGTTGTATCTAATTCTACATTCCCCAACCAGTAATGGCCTGAAAACCAGATTGAGAGTTATCTCCTTTGGCCTCTAGAAAACGTAATGAAAGTTGGAAAGTGAAACTAAAACTGGTATTCACTCATGGTGACAGATACCCAAAATATTATTGCTATCTTCTGCAAAATAGAAGATATTTCTGAGCTTTTTGGGTCAAAAATTGACACGAAATTATCTATGCTGCTTCATAACTCCCTGGAACATCAGGTCACATATCTATAAACCCATGTTAAGCTAGCAAAGTGCAAACATAGCTTTTTTTCTCTGCCCCTAGACATAGGAATATACAGGCCTGTATACTTAGATACAGGCTTGGTACCACTGAAATACAGTTTTACATCACAGCACAGGAGGCGAAGATGTGACTGGGCTCCTAGGACAGAGAATTCAAGCTACCACACTACTCTGTTCATAAAGAAGTCAGAAATTACTTGTAGGTGCTTGCAGGCTCTCCACAGTGAATATTTTACGAAATGTGATTTTACTTCTTTTTGTGTTCAGTGTACACATCTATGTTAACATTATCCCCATAGACAAGATTGGTCACTGAAGCAGTAATCTCTTTTCTCTCCTACCATGCTTTCACTTTGGCCAGTTTCAACCAGGTCTGGATTTAATATACGGCATGCTTATTTTTCATAACTAATGATTTTAAGGGTTTACAGAGTTTTGGGGGACATCTTTATGATTTTCTACTGTGACAGTACCCTATGCTATCTGTTTGGATCCTGTCAGGGTGGCAGATTAAGAACAATTCTAGCCAGTCACTTACTTTCTGCAAACATTCTGTTTTTTCCTTCTTTTTGTTTCGGCACTTGGCCGCAGCAATTTTATTCCTCTCCCTTCTTCTCTTTTTTCTTTCATCCTCTTCAGGAGAAAACTGTCCCAAAAAACAGATACACACAATCCATAAGATGCTATAAACAGGAGAACTGTATTTTGATAACTTCTGGATTTTTAAAATCCAGAAGTTATCAAAATACTGGAGAGTGCTGTTAGTGCTCACATCCTGAGTTACATAAAAATGTGATTGGAACTTGTTTGCCATACAGTAGAAGGGTAGGAACTTCATTAGAATTGTCAATGAAAACCTGACTGGAGCGGGGTTGTGTGTAATCTATATGATGGCTCATTTAAAATCAGTGGTACTCAAAACCTTACTGAGTCTCCCCAGGCTCCCACACCTCCATCTCTGCTCCATTTTCCAGGGAGGAAAAGGAGGAAGGGCACAGGGAGCAGAATGGAGAATGTGTCATGTGTGAAGCAGTGAGAAGTGGAGTGAATTAAAGGCAGCACCAAAAAGGGAATACTGTCACACTTCCTTCTGTTTCCTGCGGAAGCTCAGACCAAGGTGTAACTATTTCCTTAACCAAAACTATTTCTCCACTCTCAAAGAGCAATGTTTTTCATGGACAGTGTCATCTTTAAGCAAAAACATAGCGTGGACATAGCAGGTCCACGTCTTAACCCTCACGGGTTCTGCTGGACTGTCCTCAGGAAAACAGAACTTTAGCCGTGACTTATTCCAAGTTCAGCCACCACTGGGCTAGGAAACCAGATTAGCACTTGCTCTAATCACTGTAAAACATTTTCTGTAGTCCATAATTGAAAATCAAATATCCAACTATGATAAATACCAGAGGGTTTGCCCGAAGTACTCAACAGAGAGCCAAGCAGCTGGCTTAAGAGGAAACAAGTATGGTATAGAGGGCTGTTTATAGTTAATACAATTATTGGTCTTGTGGCAAAACTTTGTTAGAGAATTAATCATTCACACCAAAATTCTGTTCAAAGAACCGTACCTCTGTTTTCAGCGTTGATGTTTCAACTGGCCTTTCAGAAACAGTCACTGTGTCCAAAGTGGAAGACATCCTGTGGAACTGACGCTTGTTCTGAATGGCAAACCTCAGTTCCTCCTTCACCAGGGGGGTTAAATTTGTGAAATCATCAAACCCCAGTGACCCTGCAGGGGACAAAGTGGGAACAATTGCGGAGGCGCTGACTTCTAATGCAGATACCTGGCCTGAGTGTTGGACCATCATTTTGCTGAAAGATAAAAAGAGATAATATTAATAGTCTTTCAACAACTTTAGAAAGGCAAATAATATCTCTTAGAGGTATATTTCATACTGTGAATAATATTGTAGTTACATTGCTTCAGTCCCCATTCCTACTCTACCCCAACCTCTCAATAGAGACAAGCAGTTAAGAATTTGGACACTCAAAAAACCTTCAACTTTATGTTAAGTCAAAGTTAGTATTTAAAAGTAAGAATAGTATCAGCACATGACAAATTTCTAGGTCTTTCTGAAACTTAATATTTTAAAAATTGTGTGCAAGGGTGTATACTGTTAAGATTTGAAGTGGTAGTGTGTGGCAAATGAGAATCGAGTGAATAGGAAGAGAAAGAAAATAGGAACAAAAATCAGAAAGCCAATATGTAGTATTATTATTTAAAGCATAGAAGGAGAGTATCTTCATCTTCAGAGCTATACCACCACAAATTCCAGCTTCAAATGGACAGAGCATACCTTGTTCTCAGCTACACTTAGCTCAATGACTTCTACTAGAAGCTGAAACTTGATAACCACAACAGGATCTGTCACAAAGTTATCACACTCAATTTTGTACACAGTTGTAGATTTGGCTATAAACTCCTGAAAAATAGTTAACAATAAGAGCTGGCACAAAGGCAAAAGTCTCTACATGCTCTGTGGCTCCACAGCACAGGCTGAGTTGGAGGGATTGACTCATGAAAAATGTGAAGCCGTTTTTTTCATTCCTTTGCTCTTGTAAAATTTGAAACTGTCCTTATGTGCCCTCTATGAGAGGCTTGAAATTCTTAAATATTTATGGTTGGATCTTCTGCTGACTTAAAACAGTGTGATTGAAGAGTCTTTAGGAGAATTATGCCAATGTAAACCCATGGAGAATCCTAATTTCTAGTAGATTTCTGAAGAAAACAAACCTATCCAACGGTCTCTTTTTACAGTTCTCTTTTTAGTCATTCTTATTAATTATTTTTAGCCAGTTTTGAAGGGAGAGAGACCCCCATGTGCTCTGTGAAAACTGGTGGCCCCACTGAGGGAGAGAGGCAAAACTCAGCAGTCAGTCATCCAAGCACAGTGGCTTAGCTGATGCACACATCCCTGCAAGTCACATCCCATCTCTCACCCAGCAGAGGTGAGATAAGAGGTCTGGAAGAAAACTGAGCACCTTTTGTGTGTGGTTCAAGGGACAAAAGGTGCAAATCCACAGGAAAACAGATTGTAATACTTCCCTGGTTCACAAAGTGACTTGTGTTAAATTGGATTCTACTGTGTTGGTTTTCCAGTTATCTCTGGTGAGTAGATTTTTGGTTTTGTTGTTGTTTTGGAGGTTTTTATAATAGCAGTATGGATAACTACAGTATGTAATTATCTACTCTGGATTAGAACCACAATAATTACAGGAAAGTCAATTGTAATTAACTTAGTGCAGGTAAGCAAATAGCTGCCTTGGGGCAGCAGTGTGGGTAAGCTAAATTTCCACATGGTGAACCCAGAACTGCACAGGTCCCTGTACGTTACTTCTGGAACCCAGCAAGAAATGTTTGGGGTCATGTGCCTTGAGAAGAAGATAGAATTTGCTCAGAGATATCTAAAAATACACTGTAAATCCACACTGGTGCAAATGAGAATAGAACCTGGTTCATTGCTGCGAGGCAAACATAAAAATCAGAGGAGTGTGAATTGCCTGTTGCTGGAAAATATCAGGTCCAACTGCAGTCTTCCTCACCCAGTCACCACAGAAGATTTGAACATTTCCCAGAGTCTCAGGGTGAAATCCTGACCCCAGTGAAATCAAAAGGACTTTTTCTGTTGACCTCAATGGGGCCAGGATTTCACCCGTAGTTATTCAAGATGGGGAAATTATTTGGAACAATTTGTTATTCAGAAAGACCTTGGGAAATTTATGTAATTCTCTTCAGAAAGCCCCTGCTCATGAGTCACATTTAAAGTACTGATACAGTTTAATCCTATAATCTCAGAAAGCAAGCAGTTACTCTTTTCCAGCAAGTCAGAAATGGCCTTACTAATTTCCAGCTGAAGTATTATTACTATTTACCATTTACCAACATTCAACCATTCCACTAATTAAACAGGCTAATTCCAGATGACACTGAAACCCTCACCCCAGCAGAAATTTCAGTTATTTTCACTGACTGTGTCCTTGAATGCTGGTGATGGCTTCATTCAACAAAGTTAATTCTGTATAATTCAATCCAACCAGGAGTCTTAAAGTAACAGTAAAATTGTTTTTCCAGCCTCCAAGATAATTAGTTGGGCTAATAATTTTCAAGCTCTGGTGGTTTATTCAATTATTTTTCAGTTGAGGTGAACTTTTAATTAAGGTCAGCAGCAGCACCAGAGGAAACCAAGAATGTTCCTGAGAAATTGTGTTAATTGTGGATTTGTAGTAGCTAGTGCTAGTAGTAAGTGTACCACAAACACCACCAAAACCCTACAGTAATGGCTCCAGGTCCTCTCACGCACCTGTCACTAGTGTGTAAAAGAGGAGTGGTCAGGTGCCCAGAGCAGGAGAAAGTGTCCTTGACCATAGGAACTCGCTGCTCTCCAGCCCAGACAGCTCACTGCCCTCCCAGTCATCCTGAAATGCACCTCTAATTGCTCCAACAAGGTAGATATTTTGCAGTTTCTGAGGAACAAATCCTTTTTCAGAAGTGTTTTACAAATAGGAAAATTAGATTTTACTATATTTTAAAAAAATGCAACAAGTTGCCCTTCTTTGTCCCAATTTTTGTACCAATTGTCCCTCTGTCTATAAGCCCTGCAGAGCTCTATCTCATTTTCTCTGGGTTTGTGAAAGGTGGGGAAATAGTAGAAACAAGAGTATCAAGCCTTAGAGCTTGATTCCATCGTGGCCTTTCTGATACAATCTCTGTTTACTGCGTTGGACCTCGCACATGTTCTGCAGTTACTGCCACTGGAGGTGCTGAACACAGCCCGGCGCTGCCACCGGCACAGCTCGTTCCCGGGCTGAGTTAATGCTTCATTGCCTCAGCCTTACTTTCGGAATTCTCAACAGTTTTACCCTCCCAGTTCAGGTAGGTTCAAACAACTCTATTCGTTCGTTCTACCCCTGCTTTTTGTTTGTTGTTTTGAAGATGATTCTTTTCATCTACAATGAGCTTTTACATCTCCTCTGACAAGACTTTAAAATCCAAACAGGCTTCCTAGCTGTGCACTTCCATTATTTAAGGATATTCTTGTTTAATTTTAATATTGAAAGTGACTACTTTCAGTTTTTTCTTGCTTAACAGCAGATGGCTGACTGTGCTTCTTGGTTTTATTTCTTCATACGAATTCCTTTTCCTCTGGTGCTGATGCAATAAACCTTGATAACCACTGAGGTTAATCTTAAACGGCATTAAGAGCAATTACAGTTCACAACCTCTGTGCACGCTAGTTGACCTTAAGCTTTCTGACATCCCACATCGCTCCCAAAGCATTTTCTGCTGCCTTTCATTTTCCCAAATGCTGTTACTAGGACGAAAATCGATTTCCAACAGGAAACTCGTTCTCTGAAAGAAGTTGTCCGTTGTGTCACGCCTGATTTGCTCAGCAACAGTTCAGCAACTGATCTACCTCACGCCAAGACCCCGGGACAGAAAGGAGGGCGGATATCCCCGGCTGTCACGAGAAGTTCCCGGTCGGTTTACGGGAATATCAGAGATAACTCTACGCGCGGCAGTGCGGGTTTGTCATCGCCTGGGCTGTCCCGCCGCAGCTCCCCGTGCCGGTGCCCGCGGTGCCGGTGCCCGCGGTGCCGCGTCGCCGGGCGGGCTCGGGGCTCCGGCGGAGCTCGGCGGGGCCGGGGGCTCTGCCGGAGCTCAGGGCAGGCGGCGGCACCGCCGCGCCACACTTCGCCCGCGGCGGAGAAACTTTTGCCGGCGGCGCGGCGCGGGTCCCCCGGCGGGCATCCATCCCTCCGCGGCGGGACAGCCTCCCCCGAGCTCAGCTCCCCGTCCCGCCGGCACGGGCAGCCCCGGCCGCTCCTCTCCGGGTCCCACCTACCTTCCTCCCGCCGCCGCCGCTCTGCCGGCAGCAGGGAAGGGGCTCCGCAGCCCCGCCGCGCTGCGGTCCGCGCTGCTCCGCCGCCTCCTGCGGGAGAGCAGCTCCCTCGGCTCCCCGCTCCTCTGCCGCTCGCCCGGGTTGCATCACCCCCCTTTTATAGCCGAGCGGGCAGCGCTGGTATTTACTCTGGCGGCGAGTCCCTGGCTGATGTCATGCTATTAATAGCCTCCCCGAAAGAGAGGGAGGAGGGAAGCGGGCCGTGGCGGTGATGCAAGGCTTCCCCGCCGGCACGGCACGGCACGGCACCGCACGGCACGGCACGGCACCGCCGAGCCGAGCCGAGCCGGGCCGGGACGAGCAGCATCCCTCAGCACCCCGACAGACCCCCTCGCCTTCCCTCTTCACCACTCTCCCCTTTATTTATTTATTTATTTTTATTAAGACTCCGAGAGTTTCTCTCTCCGGGCCATTTTGCTTCTGACAATAAATCAAAGTCCCTCTAGCGACAAAAAAAACAAAAACCAAAACAAAAAGAAAAAAAAAAAAAGAAAAAAAAAGGTGGCAATTGTGTATTTTTCGAAAGGACTGAAAAGTGTGATCTTTCTCTAGAGGAAAAAAATTGTTCATGCCCCCCCCGTTTCCACCATTCTCCCTCCTCCTCCCCCCGCTACTTTAGATGACAGTGAAAAGTTCATTTCACATAGAGAAGAAAGCTCCGTTTTTTACTCTGAGGAGGAAAGACCCGTTTAATTAAATTATAGAAAGCTAAAAATAGCCCTGTTTGGGGTTTTTGTTTGTTTTGTTAGGGTATTTTGAAAAACTTTTCCTAAAACACAGCAGCATGCTGTGATCTCATGAAAAAACAGGGGATTCCTACAGCAGAGAGGGAAATACGGTTGTGGCTGTGGTAAAGGGGTTTTTGTTTAGTTCTTTTTTTCCCCTCTGATTTGTTAACAGACAGAAATTACCTACTAACAGCCTCCAAAGTGCTAGAAAATATGATGTTAAAAAACCCCCAAAAACAAAAACAAAACACCAAAAAACCAATTTAGGTGGGGGAGACACAGAAAGCTTACAAAGACAGATGCATAGGATTATCCAGTACAATAATAATTCATATTTAATATATGCAAACTTGTTATTAAGCAAGTGTTCAAGTGTCTGTACTTGACTTGGAAAGACCAGGACATTTCATGCTTGAGTGTATTGTAACTAAACCAACATGAAATGTATACCTTACTATATAAAATGTATATACCAATCAAGTGCTCCAAATGGTTGATTGATTTTATAATGTTCAATATGCCAGTTTTGATAATAGGTAATAAGTCTTGAGTGGTGTATTCTGGGATATTTTAATTGCTTGGGGCTTTTTGTCAAGAATACAGATTAGTAGTAAAATAGTAGTTTACAGAATTAGTAGAATAGAGAACTAGTAGTTTGGAAGTCTCTTTGTATCTCCCTTCTGTGTGCACGTGGTTGTCTGGATGTATATGTGTGTGTGTGTGTGTGTATAGATAGATAGATGATACAGATATAGACATGTATATCATATTGGCCACACAGTCTGGAGTAGTAAACTTGGGTTTTTTTAATGTCCAAGTGCCAGTAACTTTGCAAAATTAACATTCCTATTTCACATTTAGTTGCCTGCTCTAGAAAGAAAAGTACTGATGTGGTGGGAAAGGAAGGAGTCTGAAGCAGTGACGTGGGCTCCCCTCCTGTGGAAGGTGCAGTCGCACCCTGTTCTCTGCAAACAAAGAAGTGCATTTTGTGAGGGCAGCAGCAAACTCCTCTGACCTACCTGGCAGCTCTCCATTTACAGCTCCCGTGAGCTGCAAGTTTTTTTCTTTTTCACTCACCTATAGATAAATCATTCTCAGCTCTATCACAACATAGTTATTGCTGCATTTTTATTAATCTAGCTAAATCAATGTCAAATATAATGCCAGGCAAAAACTTTGGTCTTGAAGGGTCTAGAGCAAGCTTTTTGTTTCTTCTTGCTACAGTCTAATAAGTTCTTTTTACTTCAGAGGCATAATTTTATAATTCATGCTGTGCTCAAGGACAGCTGTCACCGTTTTTCTCAAGCCTAGAAGAAAAAAATATTCCTGTCAAGCAGAAGCCAAATGTGGAAAATTTCTTCCCAAAAGATAGTTGGTTGGAAAATTTTAAGCACTGTGGAAATGTGTTAGCAACATCGGTTTTAGTGGCCAAGAACAGGTGCCTGCTGCAATTATGACAGAAATTTAGCAACTGTCTGTCCTTATTTATTTAGGTGGCTGTATCAGAAGTGGGAATGTATTTAGAGTAGTTTCAGCTAAACAGAGCAGTGTTGCAGAACAATAGGGAAAAAAAGCAGCTCTCTCCTTTCCATGTGGGTGGAAGTACCTTGGAAATACAAGTGTTGTTGTGGATGGTCACTGACATCTGCTTGTCTGCTACACAATGCTGGTCGCATTACTGCCCATGAGCTGCAGCCAGCACTAAAATCTGACAGCAAACCAGTTGTGTTCATTCTTGAACTTCTCCTGAAGTGAGCCAGCTCCTCCCTGCAAAGCAAACAGAGAAATTGTTCCTGTGCGCATTTGAGATTAGGCCACTAAAACATGTCCTGGCTTGAAACTCTTCAGTGAAAAAAGAAAATGAAACCATAGAGAAAAATAAACCCAGCTCCACTGTGTCATATAGGTTTTATCCAGATCCCTTTTGAAACCAAAGTTAAGTTAATCTCAGTTGGATCACACCCCAGTTAAAAAAAAAAAAAAAAAAATTAAAAAAATTAAGACTATCAGGAAGTTAAAGTAACACCCAGTACAGCCACCAGATGCTCTGATGTTCTTGCCAGTTTGATTTTCCATCTCATAAAATATCTTTCATTTGCCTTCCCCTGAACATTTACTGGTCCCTTCCCAATCCATGTCTCTCTTTCCTCACAGACTGCAGGGGACAGATCCCCTGCAACAGCTTTTTTTTTTTTTTTTTTTTTTTTTTTGACAGAGGTAACATCCATGTTCTTAACTTCTGTTTCCCTTAAGCCAGGTACACAGCTCAGCACTCAGGCTGATGTGTACTGGGTTCTTTTCCCTCTGCAGAGAAATCAGGCTGAATGCCACCCCACGGTGTGGTCCTTGCAGCCCTCCAGCAGTCTCCAGTGTGGAGAAAAGAATTCTTTCCTTTACTTCCTTCTGACCAAGTCCTGCCTCCACATCCCTTGACACTACTTCACACACTGTGGATATTTGATTAAAATGAAAATATGGCTGTCTCATTATTAAAAAGAACTACAGACACCATTATACAGAGGAATAGACCCCCAGTCTTATGCTACTGCAGGACATCAGTCAGAGCAACACAAATAAAATCTTCATGTCCCATCCAGATCCTGTTTCTGGTCACACAGTTCCATTAAACCTGTTCAGCCTGATGAAAATATAATGAGATGTAAATAAATGAAATGTGTAGTGATAACATGAGTAAAACCTGCCTCTCTGTGTGTTTTGTGGTTTGACTTGTTTAAAGTTTTGAAATTACCGTAGCCCTGAAAAGACAAATCTTTCCCTACACAGCACATATAAGAGAAATAGGTTTCCATAATTCAGAGTTATCTTGTGGTAAAATCTGCACAGAATCAGGTTTTCTGACTCTGCCTGAAATATTCCTCTCTGCTTCCGTGATGGAAACTGACCTTCATCATAATTTTTGCTATGTGGTATATTCAGGTCTGAATCTATGTGGCAGGACTCCCCTGTTCACCAAAACATGCACTAATTTTGAGATCATTTTCCCATCTGACTGAACTAACACCAGGGTGAAACTCGGGACTAGTTTTTCCAGCATGTGGGTTGCTGCTGCTTGAACTATGGGAGCAGTCAGCAGCAGAAGTAGCATCAGCCACCTCCACCCAGCCCAGAGTTTTCCAGCAGCTGTCTGGGGACTCTGAGCATCTGTGGGCTGCTTCCAAGGGTTTCTCCAAAAAGTGAGTAAAAAACCTCCAAGCCTACAGTAGCAAGGACAAAATTCACTCTGGAAGGACTGGTTCTCTATGGACTTAAAAGGTCCAAAAATGGGAGTTAAAAATCACAGGGTTAGAGAGCTGACTCTCACTGAGACTGCATGGCAAACCCTGTCACTCTCTTATATTCAATACCTCTCAAGCAGATGAGCAGATGAATACATGTCTTGTAAAACAGGGAAATAGGTGCTCTGTTTTAACAGCTTTTATTCATTAACACTGAAGATCAAATTCTTTTACTCTTTGTTTTTCTCTCCACAGCTTACCTTTCTTTCCTTACTGTCTTCTCCGTCACAATCCCTCGAAATCCATTTACTCTTCATTTATTCTCTCCTTTAAAAATCCCATTCCCTGCTCTCTTTTGCTTTGTTTCCAAAAGTTACATTTCCCATTTCTTTAAAACAGCAGCTTCTGCTTTTCTTTTGCAACTTCCCTGTTTCTACTCTTCTCACTTCTCTCTTTTCCCTCCCTGTATCCCTGGATTTCATCATTCTACTTTTTTTCTGTTCCTTTTTTCCTAGAAATTTTTTTTCTCATTGATCCTTCAGGTTCTGCCTGGAAGCTTCTTAAATTTAAATGAGTAATTTTTAATTTCTCTTTTGCTTGCTGTCATTTTAATTTTTGCTTCTCCCTTAATGAGATGAAGGCACTGATAACAAAATTACCACTGGGTGCAACATGTACATTTCAGGATCAGATTCTGGGACACAACATTACCATGAATTTTAGTGCAACTTTACTAAATTAAAGTTCCAGAAAATTGTCAGTCATTGTTATAGGCAGTGTTTCAGAAGTGTGGGGTAGAGGTGCAAGTTGTACAAACATCCATTCTAAGTGAGAGACAGCTCTGACATTGGTCCAATCAAGTATATCTTTAGTTCCCTTTTGCTGAAGATTTTCAAGGCTTTTTTTTATTAGATGGACTTTGTGCACCAGCTGAGAATCTGGCCAAGCGCAATAACCTGCAATTAAAACTTGTTCTCTTTGGATATGCCCAGGCAATAAACAACAAGAAAAATAGATCCCACATATGGAAGAATCACATCTTAAAGCAGACTGAACATAGCAAACTCACTGGCTTCACTGAACAAGCAAAATGATAGCTTAGGTATATTAACTGCCCTCAGAGAAGTGCAAATTGTATCTCCTCAAAGTGCCTTTATAGTGCCTTCCATTTAATGGCAAAGAAACTACTTGTTCAGAGATCCTGCCCTTCATCTTCCTCTCCTCATCCTTTCCACCTTGTAAAAGCATCCCAGATTTTGTTTGAGATCAGTTACAGACTCATTCTGAACTTCATCAATGTCTTCACACATTAAAAAATGATCACTGATGAAAGTACTAAGACCTGATCCAACTGTTAATTACGTCAATGGAAAGATTCCCATTGACTTCAATGAGAGATAAATTTAGCCCTCGGGGAAGTATGAAAAATCAGCATTTAGTTACACTGGTTCTCAGCATACAAAACTCTCCTCCTGAAGAGACTTGGAAGAAAGGCTAGGAATTATTTGCTGAAGGTGTATGCTTCCCTTGGGTGGACTAATGTGATTATGGTTTGTGACCTTGTTGTCTTCCAGGTGAACACCAAGGATGAGAGGAAGTAAGAGAGAGAATATATCTATTTTTACTGTGCTAAGTTACAAGAATTTTGGACATATTATGGAATTAATCATGCTGCTGCACACAAATACAAACACGCACACACACACACATACCCCATATAAAACCCAACTCTTCCTATTGATTGTCCTTGGAACAGTGCACATATATAAAGAATACTCTGGAATTTAATATAACTTATGACACTTTCAACAGCTCTTCTCATCTGTCTGGTAAATATGTAAATTACAATTTGTCATAATAATTACAAATGAACAGTTTTAATTATTAAACATTGATTCCTACATAAACACCATTTCAAATAAAAACACTGTATGGCACAGATTGCAACCATTAAAACAAGACTGCCACTGCAGCTTTCATTGTGCTTATCATTTGTCCTCTCACCTACTTCACATGTGCCTTGCCATGAAAGGAGCACATGAATGATCACAACATTCATTCAGCCTCTTATCTGCCTTGGTTTATTTTTTTGGCTTTGACTGTACAGTAACTTGCCCAGATAATGAGAACAAAGTGTAAATAAAATTAAACCAATAGAGCTGCACACAGCTTTAAAATGAGACTGCCCTGATTGCAACCACAAAAGCACCCCCTGAACCCAAACCCTGATTGCTCTGTGGGCAAGTGAGGCTGCTGCTGAGGCAACCTCAGCAACAGGGGAAGATGTGGGGTGCCACTACACCCACCTGGGCTTCCCAAGTGATGCCAGTCCAGTGGGGAATGCTACCCATGGTGGGGTAGGGTCTGTCTTCTCTGCGACTCTTAGAAGCAGAATGGTTGCAGAGAGAGAAAAGCAGACTGCAGGATGCCCCTTGTCCAGGGCATGTCCTCACCACAGGGCTGAAAAGTCAGGCACCATCTGCTTTCCTGTCTAATCGGCTCGAAACTTCAGGACAGGAGAGACACGCAGAGTAAGAGTCCCCAAACAGCACAGATGATCAGTGTGTGCTTAGATCATTTCTCCTCAGAAAGAGCAGGCACAAGTTTCACCTCACACAGCCAGATGTGAGAACCTAACTCAGGTCTTTCTCTCCAGACTCAGTGTTCTTGCTGGTGGGATTTTTAAAAATTTGTTTTAAAAACCAAGCCCAAGTTTATAAGGGAAGTTTGGGGCCATGAATGTCCTGATTCACAGCAATGTTCAACTCCACATTGCAGGTTAAATGGTTAAGTGGGGAAGAAATGGGAATTTATTTTCACCATGCACAGCCACCTTCCATGGAGCTGGGCTTTAATCCTACACTGGAAATAACATCAGGATAGCTGGGAAATGAGAGGGCTCCTTATTCATAATCTTTGTGAAGATAACCTGATGATCTTCCTTTTCCCAGTCTGCTGAAATGGATAATATTTTATGCTTTAGGGTAAAGTAGCTGAGATTCCCAAATGGATACAATGGATAAGGCTGCTGTATTTTATTTTCATTTCTAATTTTAATTAGCACTCTTATAGGCCCTTTTTTTGCTTTCTTGATGCATTATTATCTGTTCTTACTACTGAATGTGTGCATGGCAGTAGTATTTAGCAGCCCCAGTAAAGATTCTCTGTGTGCTTTTATTATATATACAAGAGTTTTATTATATATACAAGAGTTTTATACTGAGCTCTAAAAATTATTACAATATTTCAGTTGCCAAACAGAAGCCCAGATTCCGCACAGCAATTAAATACATGGCTAAATATTCTCTGTCCAAAAGCCTTGCCTAAGTTAAGGCTTACTATTAACAAGATCTCATATAAATATTCTTTCTTACAATCATATTTAATAAATACTTATATAAATAAATATTTTATATTTATAATATAAATTTATATTTAATAAATATTATTTCTTATTTCTGTGGAATTATATTATTCTAACACATTTGGGATGAGAGCACCTGGCAAGGTCTAATATTGTGGTCT